GTTCCGAGGTACTTGAACTTCTCCACCTGCTCCACTGCCTCTCCGTTAATCTGAAGAGAGCAACGGGCATAGAGGAGAGTTTATCGTACGATAATTGTGCTGCAGTAAATACACCAAAAACTGAATCTTTAACGCTTTCCCGATTCACTCCTTGCTGTACTCTATTGGTTTTGATTGATAGGTTAGTGGGCCATTGAAATAGTTGGAGAAATACAAGTGAGAAAAGAGTGGAAGAAGAGAAAAACAGCCAGTGGAACTCTCCGAAATCCCTTCCCGAATCGATTGACCAAGACGGAGGACGAAATATGGATATTCGTTTTCTTGTCAGTCATTGTTCCTGTGCTCATTTACTGTCATCAATTACTGGTAGGGAGAGGGAAAACAGGGCCGCGAGTGCAAACGGTTGAAATGGGTTCGTGAAGAAAACCGTAGAGCGTGCTTGCTTCGACAGAGTTACACAGATAACTCCTCAGTACAATAGAGGCTTTGAATCAAGCCGTTGCTTCTCACCGTTCGGAGGTAGCAACTGCGATAGTTTTGTTCAGGTCTTCGAATGCCGCTGAAATGGACAACTAGCAGCTATTCGTTTCGCCACTGGCAGGCAGATGACCTGACTATGTTCAGAATGACGTAGCAAAAGCCTACCAGTGAATTCTGCGTCAGAGATGTCCGTTTCCGATACTCAAGCACTGAAGCAAGATCTTGGATGTTTGCGGCATTTTGCCACCCTTAAAGATATGTGGCGTGCAAAGCTGAAACTGAGTGACTAATCGGCAATCAGCAACGTCTTCATATCCTACGATAACGGAGAAGTTCTGAAGTTCGCAGAATGGGCTGCCAAAATCGAGCATAGTATTGACACTCGAATGTTCATTTCTTTCGAAGTACGGATAGCTAGAGCTTAGCCTGTTTCGTTATTCTGCTTCAACTATTTCCAAAACCGAAATGATCAGATTGTCCCCCCCCCTTTAATACAGATGGTTTGCGGAGAACATTACGTCCGTAGAAGTTTCCGT